ACACATATGTACTTAGTATTACAATATCTGCAGTACTGGTTTTCAACAAATGTGTAACAATCTTCAAAATCTGACTCCATTTTTCACTACTCTCATTATGATATTAAAACATAAAGAGGACAGACATTTATATTTTGAGTGACAGGTGCGCTTTACAAAGCGTCTAAATCACATCAGCCTCCCAGTACAAAAGCATAAATAGCCTTACATTTTGCAGAGAAATAAAAAAGAAAGAAAATCTAAAAAATATCAGGAAGAAAATGGAAAGTTTAAACATTTTTAAAAGCTTACCACTAAAACAATGAATAAAACTGTTTAATGAGGAATCATTTTAATAGTGCTGCATAGTGATCATGGTACCGTGAGGGGGAAGAAGGAAGGAAAAGGAGGAGGAAACACATGAAAAAATTAGAAATAAGGAAACCCTGTAGTGCCAACCACCATGTCCTTAATATAAGAGCATTGTGCACTGGGTGTAGGGTCAACTACAGGCATCCTGCAACAGTATCTACCTTTTTATATGCCTCCTTCAGATCTTGTCTATTATGTCTTAGGTAGATTCTAGTTATCCTTTAAATCAACACAAACCATTAGGATAAATCACTAATTTGGCTTTCATTATCTCTTTTCTAATGTGTAGCTTTCTGATATACAAAACTAAATGATGCAACATTCTATTTAATTATTGAGCATATGCATATCCCCAATGTCTTACGCAACTGGCATAATTAAGATGGTAACTCTACTACGAATGCAACCTTGGCATGAAAACTCTAAAAACTTTTGATTACTCTGTAGCCTAAAAAGTTCCTATTTTGTGATACTTCCTAATGCCAAAAAGGTTTACAAAAAGCTAACCAATTAATCTACTGTCCTTATGACCAGATTAGAAAACAAATATAATAGTAATTATGATCACTCACTCGCCCAAAAACTCCCTTTCTAAAAAAGTCTCAGGCATTGTATGTACGTGTAGAATAGTCATAAAAACTATCTTATACTATTATTCTTTAGGATCATACCACTTGACTCAGGCAGAAATAAAAATGTTTTCATATGGAATCCTTCTTATAATCTCAGGAATTACACTGAGATAATTGAAATAATACAAAATATTACTCATGATATAAAATAACTTTAAGTATTAACGCACTTTAACTCAGCATATATTAACATGTCTGATAGAACAGACAGGTCATTCAACATGAAAGGTAATGATGTAAGCGCACAGTTTAGTAAGTCAATCAGTATCTTAAAAAAACACATTTGAAAGACAGGAGTCCCCAGCCCATCCTGAAATACGGCTCTTCTTTCTTTCCTTCCTTCCTTCCTTCCTTCCTTCCCTCCCTCTCTCTCTTTCTTTTTCTCTTTCTCTCTCTCTCCCTCTGTCTCTTTCTTTCTCTCTCTCTCCCTCTCTCTGTCTCTTTCTCTCTCTCTCTCTGTCTCTTTCTTTCTTTCTCTCTCTCTCTCCCTCTGTCTCTTTCTCTCTCTGTCTCTCCGTCTCTCTCTCTCTCTCTCTCTCTCTCTCTCTCTCTCTCTCTCTCTTTCTTTCCTTTAGACAGACTTTCACAGCATTGACCAGGATGGCCTTGAACTTGTGATCCTCCTGCCTCAGTCTCTGGAGTAGCTGGGATTACCAGCATGAGCCATCCCACCCTCTTCTTAAACCTTTCGTTAGCCTCTCAATGATTTTCTAAACTCCAGTTTCATTTTTCCATTGAACAGCTCTTCAGATGCCATCTCACACCCTGTACCTATCTGCTGCATGACTGTCACCCTGAGATTTGCCTTCGGCATTATCCAGCAAATTCTCTCTTAGTGTTCTCCTGAGTGGAACCCAAGTTTGTCGAGTGCTGCGTATTATTTTATC